TTCCGGAGACCTCGCCTACCCTGCGTTGGACGGGGGAGGTTGGCGATGCGTCGGTGTTCCGAGTCTGGGGATGTCGAGCCTTTGTCCGCGATACGTCCGCGGACAAGCTCTCGTCCCGTGCCGTTCCCTCCGTCTTCCTTGGCCTTGTCCCTGACGTGCCTGGCTGGCAGTTTTACCACCCCACCTCGCGTCGTGTCTTTGCCTCTCAGGACGTCACCTTTGACGAGTCGGTACCCTTTTACCGTCTCTTCCCCTACCGCACTGCCCCGCTCCCCCCCCCCGCCGCTCTTCCTCACCCCAGGTGTCCCGTCGGTAGACCCCCTCCCTCCCCAGGGTGCTGCTCCCTCAGGTGTTTCCCAGGTAGACCCGGTCGAGCCTGTCGAGGTAGCTGTGGACTCTGGTCCTGCGCGAGGTGCTGAGCGTGCTGAGCCTGGTGGTGCTGGGTCTGGGGGTACTGAGACTGGGGGTGCTGAACCTGGGGGTGCGGGGACTGGGGGTGCTGAGCCTGGGGGTGTGGAGACTGCGGGAGCTGAGCCTGGAGGTGCTGAGCCTGGGGGTGCTGCGACTGGGCGTGCTGAGCCTAGAGGAGCTGAGGCTGGGAGTTCTGAGCCTGACCGTGCTGCGCCTGGTGGCGCTCCCTCTTCACAACAGCTGCGTGAGTGGTACGCTCGGCGCTGCAGCCTCCGGAGTGGAGCTCATGGCGTTGAGGTACCGCCTGCTGGAGGCCCTGCTGCTACTGGAGGTCCTGGAGCTGCTGGAGGTACTGCTGGTGCTGGAGCTGCTGGTTCGGCTGGAGGTTCTGGTGCTACTGGAGGTACTGCTGGTTCTGGTGCTGCTGGAGGTGCTGCTGGTGCTGGAGCTGCTGGAGGTGCTGCTGGCGCTGGTTCGACTGGAGGTTCTGGTGCTGCTGGAGGTGCTGCTGGTGCTGCTGGAGGTACTGGAGCTGCTGGAGGTGCTGCTGGCGCTGGTTTGGCTGGAGGTTCTGGTGTTGTCTCTGCTGCTTCTGGGGGCACTTCACGGCCGCGGCCGTACTTCGTTCCGCTCCTTCAGCAGGTTCTTGGTCAGCCGCCTCCTCCTAGTCCTCCTCCCTCCTTAGAGTGTCCTCTGCCTGTCCAGTCGCAGTCACAGCTACCGCCTGCCTCGCCACTTCCTGGTCCTTCTCCCTACACTGGTCTGACAGGCGGTCTTACCGAGCGTCGTGAGCCTGAGTCCCGTCCTGTGTCACCTGTGTCTCGTCCTGTGTCACCTGTTCGTGCTACTCGCACTGGTCGCCGTGTTCCGCGTGAGCGTCCTCCACCTGTCCCTGGCACACACTCTATGACTCTGCGTCCTTCCACTGCTCCACAGCGTGTCCCTCTGCCGTCTCCTGCTGCGTCCTCTCTTCCTGCTCTTGCTGACCCGGAGTCTGACCGGGTTCGTGCTGCCAGTCCTACTGTCACGCGTCTCCTGGCCACTGCTGTCACTGACCCTTCCTTTGAGTCTGCTGCTGCGTCTGCCCTAGTTGCTGAGCTTGTCGACTTTGCTGCTCACTGTCGTCTAGACTACGCCGCCAGTCTTGTTGCTGAGTCTGAGTCTGTCTGTCCTCCGACCGTCGGGGGTGAGTGTGCTCTTAGCACGGACGTCCTTGAGGATAGACAGGAGGACCTTGAGTGTCTTGCAGCCGCTGCGCCTCATCTCGTGTCCATGCTGATTGCCCCTGAGGGAGACCCGGATGCTCCAGACATCCCGACCCCACGCTCTTACGCTGAGGCGATCGCGGGTGAGTACTCCTCTCAGTGGCAGTCAGCCATGGATGCAGAGATGGCATCCTGGAAGTCCACTGGCACTTACGTCGACGAGGTTCCCCCTGCTGGGGCGAACATCGTCAGTGGCATGTGGATTTTCAGGGTGAAGCGGCCGCCGGGTTCCCCGCCTGTCTTCAAGGCTCGTTACGTTGCTCGAGGCTTCAGACAGCGAGAGGGAGTAGAATTCTTTCAGACCTTATCCCCCACCCCGAAGATGACCACTCTTCGGGTGCTACTGCACGTTGCTGCTCAGCGTGACTACGAGCTTCACTCTCTTGACTTCAGCACAGCTTTCTTGCAGGGCAGCCTGCACGAGGAGATCTGGCTGCGCCGCCCTCCTGGCTTCACTGGGTCGTTTCCTGCTGGTACCCAGTGGAGCCTCCGGCGGCCGGTCTACGGTCTCCGCCAGGCGCCACGTGAGTGGCACGACACACTGAGGACTACTCTTGCGGCACTTGGGTTCACGCCTTCTACTGCTGACCCGTCACTGTTTCTGCGCACCGACACTTCGCTGCCGCCGTTCTACATCCTCGTGTACGTCGACGACTTGGTCTTTGCCACTGCTGACACTGAGGCTCTCGCCCACGTGAAGTCCGAGCTGCAGAAGAGACATACGTGCACAGACCTGGGTGAACTGCGCAGCTACCTTGGCTTGCAGATCACCCGGGACAGAGCACGCCGCACCATCACAATGACTCAGTCACACATGGTGCAGCAGGTCCTTCAGCGCTTCGGCTTCACCTGGTCCTCAGCACAGGCCACTCCTATGGCTATAGGTCACTCGCTCTCAGCTCTGCCTTCGGATGAGTCCGTAGAGCCGAGTGGTCCTTACCCAGAGCTAGTTGGTTGCCTCATGTACCTGATGACTTGCACTCGTCCTGACCTAGCATACCCTCTTGGCCTTCTGGCCCGCTATGTGGCTCCTGACAGGCACCGAAAGGTGCTCTGGGATGCTGCAAAGAGGGTATTGCGCTACTTGTGCAGTACATCGGGCATGGGGCTCGTGCTTGGAGGAGGGAGCCCAGTTGTTCTCACTGGGCACTCAGACGCTTCTTGGGTTGACGACCAGGCTACTCAGCGGTCGTCACAGGGTTATACCTTCAGCCTTGGCTCTGGCTAAGTTTCTTGGCGTTCTACGCGTTCGTCTTCAGTTCTCAGCTCCAGTTGTGAGGCTGAGATCTACGCCACAGCCATGGCTGCACAGGAGTTACGCTGGCTCACCTACCTACTGACCGACCTGGGAGAGCGGCCTCGTTCTCCTCCAGTGCTGTACGTCGACAACAAGGCTGCCATTGCCTTGTGTGAGGAGCACAGACTGGAGCACAGGACGAAGCACATCGCTCTACGTTACTTTCTGGCTCGAGAGTTGCAGCAGCGTGGTCAGCTTCGTCTGCGTTTTGTGGCCTCTCAGGCCAACACTGCTGATATATTCACCAAGGCACTTCAGTCTGGTGATCATCAGCGTTTCTGCACTTTGCTAGGACTTGTGCCCACTTTTCCTCACTTGTTGTAGACCTTGCCTGTACTGTGATCTATATATCTATACCTGCATACTTGCTAGACATAGATCACTGTGATGTTTGTACTATATATATGCCTCTGCATGTGAACTGGCCTTGTGGTCCTTTGCTTGTGCTCAGAGTGTGTGGTGACATTGTGATCCACCCTGAGCTTGCTTTGGTTTTCTTGACTGGTCTTGTGACCCCTTGTTCTCCCCCACTTAGCCTATGGGGGTGTGTCAAACAATATATATGTTTCTGTTGTGTAGGCTACAGTGGGTTGGCCTTTAGGGGGTACATTTCACTAGGGTTTACTACTTGTACTCCAACAACTTTCTAGTTCAACACTTCTTGTTTCTGACAGGCCCATCCACAGGATCGACAAGAGAGGGTTGACCTACTCTGATAGCATGTTAGAATAGTGAACGGAATGAAACAGAGAAGAGGGTTTCACTAGCAGGCAGTTGAGTACATATAGCAAACCCTAACAGGGCTGTACTCACTATAGAGTACCCCACTGCAGACTAGAGAAATTACACATTCTGACAGTCTCCGCCAGGCACCTCGTGGTGTCAAATTATAAGTTCACTGCTATCTAGGCTGTAGTGGGTTTAGCCTTAGGGGGTACAGTAAATTGCTCGACACTTCATTGTATCCCCCTCCTTGAACCTAATCCACTTCATTCCTTCTCAAACTCTCTCGACATTGAACCCTAGCATGGTTCCTACACTCACTATAGCTACGATTCCAACAAGGTATTAGAGTAGTTACGCTCCTTGGGCCCACCACCTGCTGCCCTGCGTGCCGCCCTCGTGCGGCCCCATACTCTCGACGTTCGGCACGGCCCGTCGCCCGTCGCCCCTAGGCCCCGGCCCCGTGGCCCGTCGCTCGCGCCCGTCGCCCCTCGGCCCGTCGCCCCTCGGCCCCTTGGCCCCGTCGCCCCTAGCCGCGGCCCCTAGGCCCCGTCGCCTCGGCCCCTTGGCCCCGTCGCCCCTAGCTGGAGCCCCTCGGCCCCTTGGCCCCGTCACCCCTAGCCGCGGCCCCTAGGCCCCGTCGTCTCGGCCCCTCGCGACCCTAGGCCCGTCGCCCCGTCGCCTCGGCCCCTTGGCCCCGTCACCCCTAGCCGCGGCCCCTAGGCCCCGTCGCCCCCAGCTGCGGCCCCTCGCGACCCTAGGCCCCTTCGCCTCGGCCCCTTGGCCCCGTCGCCCCTAGCCGTGGCCCCTAGGCCCCGTCGCCCCCAGCTGCGGCCCCTCGCGACCCTAGGCCCCTTCGCCTCGGCCCCTTGGCCCCGTCGCCCCTAGCCGTGGCCCCTAGGCCCCGTCGCCCCCAACTGCGGCCCCTCGCGACCCTAGGCCCGTCGCCCCGTTGCTTCGGCCCCTTGGCCCCGTCACCCCTAGCCGCGGCCCCTAGGCCCCGTCGCCCCCAGCTGCGGCCCCTCGCGACCCTAGGCCCCGTCGCCTCGGCCCCGGTGCCCCGTCGCCCCTAGCCGCGGCCCCCAGGCCCCGTCGCCCCCAACAGCAGCCCCTCGCGACCCTAGGCCCGTCGCCCTGTCGCCTCGGCCCCTTGGCCGCGTCACCCCTAGCCGCGGCCCCTAGGCCCCGTCGCCCCCAGCTGCAGCCCCTCGCGACCCTAGGCCCCGTCGCCTCGGCCCGTTGGCCCCGTCGCCCCTAGCCGCGGCCCTCGTCGACCCGTCGCCCCGTCGCCCCGTCGCCCCTAGCTACGGCCCCTCGCGACCTGCCGCCCCTAACCACGGCCCCATCGCCTCTAGCCTCGGCCCCTCGCGACCTGTCGCCCCTAGCCGCGGCCCCGGTGCCCCGTCGCATCATGGAGGGTAAGGGGGTGGCAAGAGGGGTGACAGTTTCTTCCTGCCTGCGCGCCCTGCAGTCGCACGCGCAGCTCCGCCCCCGCCCCCCTCCCCCCCCTCCCCCCCCTCCATGGGGACGGGAGGGAGAGGGTGTGAGGGGGTGGCGGATGTGCCTCAGCAGCAGCAGCTGCCACCACGCCTCCTCCTCTCTCTCTCCCTGCCGCACCCTGTGTTGGGAAGGGGGGGGGAGCTTGGAGGTTCAGGGGGAGGCAGGAGGGGATCTGCAGCACCAGCCCCCCCCGCCCCCCCTTTCTCCTCCATCCCTGGCGGGTGAAGGATTGTGGAGCAGCAGTGGGGGGGAGGGGATCTGCAGCACCAGCCCCCCCCCGCCCCCCCCTTCTCCTCCATCCCCCTGCTGCGGGTGCAGCAGTGTGGGGGAGGGGATCTGCAGCACCAACCCCCCCCGTCCCCCCCCTTCTCCTTCATCCCTGGGGGGTGACGGATAGTGGAGCAGCAGTGGGGAGGAGGGGATCTGCAGCATCAGCCCCCCCCCCCGCCCCCCCTTCTCCTCTCTCTCTCCCTGCCGCACCTTGTGTTGGAGGGGGGGGGGGGGAGCTTGGAGGTTCAGGGGGTGGCAGGAGGGGATCTGCAGCACCAGCCCCCCCCGCCCCCCCCCCCCCCCCCCCCTTTCTCCTCCATCCCTGGGGGGAGGGGATCTGCAGCACCAGCCCCCCCTCCCCCCCCCCCCTTTCTCCTCCATCCCTCTGCTGCGAGTGCAGCAGTGGGGGGGAGGGGATATGCTGCTGCCACGCCTCCTCCCCTCTCACGGCTGCGCCTGCTGCTGTGGGAGGAGAGTATGGGGGAGCTTGGAGGTTCAGCGGGTGGCAGGAGGGGATCTGCAGCACCAGCCCCCCCCGCCCCCCTCCCCCCCCCCCCCCTTCTCCTCCATCCCCCTGCTGCGGGTGCAGCAGTGGGGGGGGAGGGGATCTGCAGCACCAGCCCCCCCCCCCCCCCCCCCCCCCCTTCCCTTCTCCTCCATCCCCCTGCTGCGGGTGCAGCAGTGGGGGGGAGGGGATCTGCAGCACCAGCCCCCCCCGCCCCCCCCCCCCCCCCCCCCTCCCTTCTCCTCCATCCTCCTGCTGCGGGTGCAGCAGTTGGGGGGAGAGGATCTGCAGCCCTGTGCGCCCCGCGCGCCCTGCTTCCCTGCAGCCCTGTGCGCCCTGCTGCCCTGCAGCCCTGTGCGCCCTGCTGCCCTGTGCGCCCCGCGTGCCCTGCAGCCCTGCTGCGCCCCGCGCGCCCTGCTGCCCTGTGCGCCCCGCGCGCCCTGCAGCTCTGCTGCGCCCCACGCGCCCTGCTGCCCTGCTGCCCTGTGCGCCCCGCGCGCCCTGCAGCCCTGCGCGCCCTGCGCGCCCTGCTGTCCTGCTGCCCTGCGCGCCCTGCGCGCACTGCAGCCCTGCGCGCCCCGCGTGCCCTGCTGCCCTGCAGCCCTGTTCGCCCTGCTGCGCTGCAGCCCTGTGCGCCCTGCTGCCCTGTTCGCCCCACGCGCCCTGCTGCCCTGCAGCCCTGTGCGCCCTGCTGCCCTGCTGCCTTGCGTGCCCCGCGCGCCCTGCTGCCCTGCAGCCCTGTGCGCCCTGCTGCCCTGTTCGCCCCGCGCGCCCTGCTGCCCTGCAGCCTTGTGCGCCCTGCTGCCCTGCTGCCCTGTGCGCCCCGCGCGCCCTGCAGCCCTGCGCGCCCTGCAGCCCTGCGCGCCCCGCGCGTCCTGCTGTCCTGCTGCCCTGCGCGCCCCGCGCGCCCTGCTGCCCTGCAGCCCTGTGCGCCCTGCTGCCCTGCAGCCCTGTGCGCCCTGCTGCCCTGTTCGCCCCGCGCGCCCTGCTGCCCTGCAGCCCTGTGCGCCCTGCTGCCCTGCTGCCCTGTGCGCCCCGCGCGCCCTGCGGCCCTGTGCGCCCCGCGCGCCCTGCTGCCCTGCTGCCCTGTGCGCCCTGCTGCCCTGCTGCCCTGTGCGCCCCGTGCGCCCTGCTGCCCTCTGCACGCGCCATGCACAGCCCCTACCCCGCCCCCCCCCCCCCCCCCCTCCCCCTTCTCCTCCATTCCCCTGGTGCAGGTGTCGCAGTGGGGGGAAGGGATCTGCAGCACCAGCCCCCCCGCCCCCCCCTCCCCCCCCCTTTCTCCTCCATCCCCCTGCTGCGTGTGCAGCAGTGGGGGGGGGGGGAGTATGGGGGTGGCGGGATCTTGGAGGGTATGGGGGTGGCGGGTATGAGGAGCCAGCAGCCACCCCTCCTCCTCTCTCTCTCACGGCCGCGCGTGCCACTGTGGGGGGTGGGTGAGGCGGTGGTTTGTTGACTTTTTTGCTCGTCTGCCGTAGCCTTGCCCTGCTTGTACTCGCACCTGTATATCTTATGTAACCTCTTGGACTGGCCTTGTGGCCGCTTGCTAGTGCTCAGAGTGCGTGGTGATCTTGAGATCCACCCTGAGCTTGCTTTGCTTTGTTCCTTCTCTTGACTGGTCTTGTGACCGCTTTGTTGTGTTTGCTATCCCCCACTTCGCCTATGGGGGTGTGTCAAATTATAAGTTTACTGCTATCTAGGCTGTAGTGGGTTTAGTCTTAGGGGGTACAGTAAATTGCTCGACACTTCATTGTATCCCCCTCCTTGCCCTAATCCACTACATTCCTTCTCAAACTCTCTCAACATTGAACCCTAGCATGGTTCCTACACTCACTATTGCTACGATTCCAACACGTGGGTGGCACGACACTCCCCGCTCCACTTTTGCGGACCTCGGGTTCCGTCCTTCGTCCGCCGACCCATCACTGTTCGTTCGTTCTGGCTCCACTCCTTTCTTCGTCCTCATCCACGTCAACGACTTGGTCTTCGCCGAATTAGACAGAGTTGCTCCGGCTTTAGTGAAGTCTGAAATGCAGAAGAGACACATATGGACTGACCTCGGTGAACTGCGCATCTATCTTGGCTTGCAAATCACCAGGGACAGAGCCGCCCGCACCATCACACTAACATAATCACACATGGTGCAGCAGGTCCTTCAGCAGTTTGAGCTCCAGTTCTCCTCCGCACAGCCCAATCCTCTTGCCATTGACCACAAACTCACTGCTCCTGTTCCCGACAAGCCTGTTGAGCCTAATGGTCGCTAAGCAGAACTTGTGGGTTGTCTCATATACCTGATGATTGCACTCGTCCGTACCTCGCTTACCGTCTCAGCGCCCTGGCTCGCTTTGTTGTGACTGGGAGACACCGTCCTATTCACTGGACGATGGTAGAAAGTACATGGTGGCTACATCAGGCATGGGGCTTGTGCTTGGAGGGACACACCCACTGCAGATTACCGAGCATTGCGACTCGTCTTGGTCGGACGACGAGGAGACCAACATGTCAACTCAGGGGTACTGCTTTAGCATGGGCTCTGGATCTGTGTCGTGGAGGTCTACTCAATCGTCGTCTGTGGTGCAGTCTAGCGCTGAAACCAGGATCTACGTTGGTGCCATGGCTGCTCGAGAGCTTGCTCTGACTGGTTTTCTTGCTCACTGACCTAGGTGAGTGGCCTATCTCTGCACCGGCGTTTATTCGCTGACAACAAGGCCATGATCCTCCTATGTCGAAAGCCTCGACTGGAGAGCAGAATGAAGTACATCTCCTTGTGGTACATCCTACTAAAAGATCTATAGCGACGCGGCCAGGCTCGCTTGGTCTTTGTGGCCTCAGCGGCCAACACTGTGGACATCTTCACCAAGGCCCTGCCGCTTGGTGACTGTGAGAGTACGCCGACGTTCGACATATTTCTCATTTCCATATTTTTACTCCATCTTATTCTCCTTATTTTCCTCTTTCATTTGCATTTTGTTTCACCTCAATCAGACTACTATTCTATTTTATAGAGCTTTCTGATTATTTCACTTATTTGGTATTTTCGGCACCGACATTTACATTATACGGCACCGACAGCACCGACAGTGGTGTACAAGGCGTAATCTCGCCATAATCCGAAGTGCCAATGGGCTTGCTGTCAGAATTATGCTGTTATAACTGCATGTAGGTCTAGAGTTAGTGTAGTTATCTTGATATCCTGCTTGGTGGTGTACCCCCCCCCTTGTCCTGCCCTATATGTTGTGAACCTCTCCATAGTGAAATCATTCCTTCTCATTCTCTCGACTCTCGCCTCCTTGGCTCCAACCATCTCGACCTCCTTTGGCCTAGGCTACTAAGCCTAGGCCCAATCAACCTAACCAATCTTGCTACTATTTCAACACTTGCGTGCTTATGCGCACTTGTGATTATCTATTCTAGAAGAGCGCGTTCCCGAAGGTTCGGATTATCTGTTGTTTCTATGTAGTTCTGAGTATAAATACGCCTTGTACTCACCTTTAGTGCAACATTCTCGAGTGGAAATTCGATCCTGTGACACTTGGTATCAGAGCCGTTTTCACTCGCGGGGTTTCAGCTAAGCAGCGCGCTCAAGAAATTCCTGCTTCGAAAAACCGCCGGGGGCGACGAATTCGGCGCCGATGCTGGTAAGCACCAGATTCCGCATTTTTTTAATAACCCCCCTCGCGCGTTTTTTGAGCAGGATCGTGAGTTCGATTGTTGGCGAAAACGTTTGCGATACAGGGACGACAATTGCAAATTGTCGGGACCTATATCGAGCGGTGCAGAAGTAGCGAGACCGACGCGCGACGGATCGAATGACTTCGGGTGAAAGCGCGCGTCATGGCGAAAATTGCGACAGAAGCAGAATCGATCGTGACTTCGCAGCAGTCGCGAAATTTTCCCAACGCCCAAGAAATTCGAGCCTCCAACACCTTTGATGGGGAAATCGACGCTAGGCGCTGGCTTTTGGCGATCGAAATTTATTTCGCCGCCATTGGATGGACAGCACCAGCAGAAACAGAATTAAATTTGCAGCAACACTACTGCGCGGACCAGCAATTGAATGGATAAGCAGAAGCGGTTTATTAAACCAAGGTGAAGCGACGTGGCAGCAGTTCCGTGAAGGATTACTACAACGTTTTGAGCCGATTAATGCAGCGTTAATCGCCCGCGACAAAATGCATCGTCATCGACAAATCGGGAGCGTCACAAACTACACACAACAAATGGAGGAGTTGTTCAACCGTATCCCCGACGTCACAGAAGGCGAAAAAATTAGAGCATTCATCGCGGGGCTGAAAAAATAAACATGACAACATGTTGCGGCCACAAATTGGAGCAGCTACAACGACGTCGTTTCGGCAGCGGAACGTTTCGATGTAACCACGATCGGAACACGACGACTTCATGGACGAGCTAGACGACATGGAGGACGCTTGGCTAACCCTACGTACGCCGACCCGATGGAACTCGATCGAATCGACGCGAAGGCAAGACCAAAGAAGAACAAATCTAAGTGTTCTTTCTGCGGCAAGCCCGGACATCGACTCATCGATTGTGACGAAATGAAAACTGCACGTTCAGCGCTCAGGGACCGTAGCAGTGGAGCAGATTTAATGCGAATATTGGAGGATCGTGGAGTGATTTTTTCAAACCACGAACGGACTCTACCAGGGAAAATCGCCGAGGGAAATAAAATCTCTGCGACACAAGACCTTGCTGGACCCGGACAACTCCAAAATGTCAAACTTATATCTGCTATAGTCTGTTTAGGCTGTAGTGGGGTAGTTCTTAGAGGGTACAACACTTTTGTGTTCTCTACTTGTACCCATCTCCTTTCTAGTTCAATCATTCCTCAATTCTCTCACATGGTATAGAGCTAGTTCGATTTTTTCCTAAGGGCCCACCACTGATTTTTTTTTTTCCTTACCTGCCTGACGCGCGCGTCGCGCCTGCCCTTCGAGGCCCCTTCGCGGCCCGTAGCGGCCCCTTCACGGCCCGTAGAGGCCCCTTTTGCGGCCCGTAGCGGCCCTTTAGCGGCCCGTAGTGGCCCCCCTTTGCGGCCCGTCGCGGCCCCTTTGCGGCCCGTATCGGCCCCTTCGCGGCCCGTCGCGGCCCCTTCACGGCCCGTCGCGGTCCCTTCACGGCCCGTCGCGGCCCCTTCACGACCCGTAGCGGCCCCCCTTTCCGGCCCGTAGCGGCCCCTTCGCGGCCCGTAGTGGCCCCTTCGCGGCCCGTAGCGGCCCCATTCCGGCCCGTAGCGGCCCCTTTCCGGCCCGTAGCGGCCCCTTCGCGGCCCGTCGCGGCCCCTGTCCAGCCCGTAGCGGCCCCTTCGCGGCCCGTAGCGGCCCCTTTGTGGCCTGTAGGGGCCCCTTCGCGGCCCGTCGCGGCCCCTTCACGGCCCGTCGCGGCCCCTTCACGGCCTGTCGCGGCCCCCTCACGGCCCCGTCGCGGCCCCTTCGCTGACCAGCAGCCCGTCGCCGACATGCCGCCCGCCATTGACCAGTCGCCCGTCGCCGACCCGCCGCCCGTCCCTGATCAGCCGCCCGTCCCTGACCAGCCGCCCGTCGTCGACCTGCCGCCTGTCCCTGACCAGCCGCCCGTCGCCGACCTGCCGCCCGTCCCTGACCAGCCGCCCGTCGCCGACCTGCCGCCCGTCCCTGTCCAGCCGCCAGTCGCCGACCTGCCGCCCGTCGCTGACCCGCCGCCCGTCGACCTGGCCCTGCCCAGCTGCCGCCCCAACAGCGGCCCCTGGTAAGCACTCGTGCTCCCCCCCCCCCCCTCCCCCTGCTGCCGTGCCGCCAGTAGCCGAGCCGCGCCGCCCAGCCGAGCCGCGCCGCTCTGCCGAGCCGCGCTGCCCCCACCGAGCCGCCCTGCTCTGCCGAGCAGCACTGCTGCTACTGCTTCGACTGCTGCTATTGCTTCTATTGCTGCTACTGCTGCTACTGCTCCTACCACTGCTTTGCACTGCTGCTACTCCTACTGCTACTATGGCTAGTCCTACCATTCTCACCTTTGATGCTGAGGGACGTGCAGTTGGCTTTGACGTGTGGGTTGACGATCTACAGCTGTTTCTTTAGTTTGATTCTAGAGATGGGGTATCTCTTTTCGATCACACGTCCGGTGTTTCCACTGCTCCTGCTGCCACTGCTGACAGT